AACACTTTCGTGGTCCGCACATCTTCATTTATCACCGCGGAATTGATCACTAAGTTTTCCAGTTTTCCATCACATTATGATTATGCGGTCCGCATATTGGTTTTGAGACCGCATAACGTACCGCAAAGTCATCTTCGTTTGAACTCCTCTAGCATTTATGTGATCACTATGCGGTCTGCATAAGAGTTATACGACCGCACAATGGATCGCAGACTTGACTCTCAGAAGCTGGGATGTTCTGCTTCATTATACGATGGGTCTGCGGTCCGCACATCATTTTTGCGGTCGCAGACCTGCCGCATTTCTGCCTTTCCATGGATTTTTGTCATCTTTTTCATGTTCTTAGTTCTTCAAGTCTGGTTTCCTGCAAAACATCAAAACTACATAAGAAATGATTTATAATGCTTTAAAAGATGAGCTAAAGTCTATGTAATTAGTATCAAAAGTGCAGCATTTCTATGGCACATCAACACCCCCAACTTAGACTCTTACTTGCCCTCAAGAAACTAAAAAGTCAACCTACCAAATACTAATGTACTTCATACTGATCACAAAGCAGCAGTGACTATGGATGGTGTTGACTGTTAGCTAACAAGCATGTAACTTCTTTTGTTCACCCTTCTTTGAAGACAAAGATCATTAATCAGTTCGAATATTCAGTCTGTGAACTTCGAGCCTCAAGAGCAATGACAGAGTGCTACCCACAGCTAGATATGCACTTGTATCCTACTTCAAGAAGCCTAACTTCTGCTAAATCTTGCAATTCATGCGTGCTCACATCAAAGAAAATCCCCAACTCAACACATGTGTACAGGGGATACAATCAAACACTCTTTCACTCAGAAAGAAGGTTAAGTGCTACAGGTATCAGTCCATATGCTTGCCCTTATTTTAACTCATTGCTACCTCGGGAATATTTGGTTGTAGATCAAAATGGACTTTTTAAGGGTTGTAGTGTAGGCTTCGGGACGGGTTGGATGAATATTTGGGAATATAGTGAATGTACCCTCTTTGAACGCTACACACCATTTTTTTTCTTTTTGCACTTTGCTTCTTCTTAAACACATAGCCTTTATTGACCTCTAGTTACCAACATAGAACCACCTTAACGTATCTCTCTAATTTTTGCAAGACTCCACACTCTGTTTTTTTATATAAATATACAATTATTTTCTTTTGGAGCTTGAGTACCTTCATATAAATAACTTTGAGGTTTATGCTGCTACACACAATGTACTTCTTCACCATTTCCCAATTGATACCAACACCCCCAACATGGGATTTTAGCCGCATTCTCAACATTCAAGGAGGGACGGGTTCAACAGAGGGAATTATTTCATAAAAGGGTAAAGGTTTGTAATGTAGTAGCCAAATAAAAGGTTAAAGGCTCAACGGGGGATAACTAAGATGATAAATGCACCAGGTTGGTCAATTAGGTCAAAACTAGTTAGCAATCACAAAGCGAGCCTAAGATCATTTTGACACCCAATCATCAACCTGAGATTAGCATTGAGGAACCAACCGGGCAAGTTCTAGACATTACAAGTTGGGCACATGCATTATTTACACAAATTCTCGCCACTCACGACGCATGAACTGCTCGAATCGGCATAATTTCATACCTCAAGTGAATACAAGGCAATTCAATGCTTCATCACATGATATTTGAGATTCTAAGTAAGCACAAAGTTAAAGAGCGAGCCTCGATTTCACTAGAATGACTAGCTGTTTATTTACAAAAATTTGAATATAGAAATTTACTCCACAAAAACTTATCACATGCTTGAATCTAGAACAAAAGCACCAAACAAGTCAAAACTTTTTATGCTACGACCATGGTTCTACTATTATACCCTTGGAACAGAACCCGGCAAAGAGAAACCACGGGGAATTCATTACTCTATACAAATCAACATTATTAAGACTAAGAGTTTATATACAAGTTGCAAAAGTTGACTACCCCACCCCCAACCTAAGAGCATGCATTGTCCCCAATGCATGGAGAAAGTAAGAGCAAGGTTTAGGGGCTTCCTGGGGCACACTAGGCACTTGGAGGGGTTGGAATATCTGAGGCAGTCGTGGGGCCGGGAGCTGACACTGTGAAGGCAGCGTGTGGAGCCTGTGACTGGACAATGGTGTCCGAGACCAAAGTAAAAAGCTCCGCCAGTTACGGAGTTGGGTCCTGGACCTAGGAGTTGCTGGCCTCACCAGATGATGGTTGTGTGGTCGTGGTAGTAGCCCTGGCAACAATATCTGCAAGGGAGTGTGCGATAGCTGTCTGCACATCCATCTCCTCCTCGCCCGGTGCATCTGCAGAAACAGCAACCTGTTTGCCTCTATTGTCCCTCTAATCATCACCCTCATCAAGTATCTCCTCCTCATCAATTTCCTCACGAGACTCTCCAGGTTCCTCATCTGAATGATCATCAGTGTGTGCAATGGAACCCGAAGCTTGTGAGATGTCAATGCCATGTGCCTCCTCAACTAACAGAAGGTTTGTGAAATCCAGATCGAAGCTTGGTACATGAGAGGTGCCAGTGCCCTGCTCCCCTTCTACTGGAAGAAGTGTGGTCAAATCAAACTCTAGTGTCTGCATCTTATGCAGCTCTGACTTGAGCTCAGCGACATCCTTTTTGAGTTAAGGCATGTCCTCAGCTTCACCTCGCTCAACTTTCTCAAGGCGAGCTTCAAAGTGCTTATGGCGATCCTCATATGATAGATGTTGCTTCTGAAGATCACTTACTGAAGTTTGGATCGGGGCCAATGCTTGCCGGATGAGCGATGGAAGTTCTTTTGTCAATTTGTCTACTTTGGCATTTGCATGTTGTGCCAGTTGACCAAGCATGGAGAGTGCAGGTAGTGAGACCGGTGGTGTCGCAGTGGCCGATCTGGGAGTGGATATGGAGGTAGCTGGTGCAAAAGAGGTATCTGGCACTGATGAGGCAGCAGGTGTTGCGGAGACGGAAGAGGCCGGAGGGAGAGTGAGTGATTGCTCTGGTGGATCTTCGACCACTTTATCGGCAGCATCATTGTGCCGAGTGATATCAATGTCCTTAACAACTCTTTCTATGCGATCATGTTTGGGGAACAGAGAAACCGTCACGTCTTTACACAAAGCATGGATTAAGCATGGAAAAGGGAGTGAGGTTTCTTTCTGGTTTGCCCTGATCCCAATCTCAGAAAATATAAGCTCTCCCACATCAATCTTGATACCCGACATAATGCAAGCAATAAGGATCACCTTCTTAATACTGATGTCGGTCTCATTTCTCATAGGCAGTATACGAGAATAGACAAAACTTAGCCAATACTGGCCTTTTTGGGTGAAATCCCTCTTGTGAATCTTCTGGCGCAGTGCAATCCAGGGCGGAGTTCCCTTGGATATGACAGAAGCTACCCAAGCATGCTCAGATTCCTTATTTGCAATCTTTGCCTCATATTCTGCCATGCCTGGCTCCCACTCTTCGAAATATATATCATTTATTGATGGGGAATCACAAAGTATTTCAACTCCTCGGACTAAGAAAGATTTCAAGTATCTACGGTTTCACTTTTGTTCTGAGTTCCTGGATGCAGCATAAAATTCCCTAACAAGCGTCTCATTGTACTCTCCCGGAACCTTAGTGAAGAACTCAAATCCCCTCTTTTTGATGTGTTCTAGCACACAAGGGTAGTGTTCTTTAAGACCGTTAAAACTCAACTACTTTTCTTCGAGGATCTTTCTCTTTACCAGACCATCTCTGTACAGAGTCCAAGAGTCTGGAATCCTAAACCTGATCGGTCGCATTTTGAACTTTGAATAAAGCTTGATTCTAATTAGGTCTGTGACCATTGTGCGGTCCGCAAACCTATTCTGCGGCCGCAGACTCAACCGCATATTGGTGTTGAGAAAACTCTCAAGCATACAAAATACGATGACTCTGCAGACCGCAAAACAGTTATGCGGACCACAAAGATCATTGTCTCTATTCAGAAACTGCACTCACAGGCAACCTTTATGCACACTCAGTACCAAATGCTCAAGTTGTGAGAGAGCATTACACACACTTAACATCAGGTCAATTTCATGCTCAGCCTAACAATATCTAATGCAAATTGTCACAAATTTCCAACCACCTTACTCTATTCAGACCCTCTAATTCTCACCCCCAAATTTTGATTGACCCACAGAACATCTTTTTCCCGTAGAGTTGATTCCCATTATAAGATACAAGAAGTTAGGTATATAGAAGAAGGTAACATGGATTAGAGGAAAAAACAAGTGAAAGCATACATCAGTCCTTACATTAACTGAGCAAGAGAAGTGAGGCATGTCTTTACATTAACTGAGCAAGCGAATTGTTGGAAATTTTACATACCAGATTGTAGAAGTTCGAGCAAGCTAAGTTGGTGTGAATCGCAAGTTAGGCGATCAAAGTGAGCCTCTCTTGGATTTTTAGTTTTCTCTGTGTTTTTCTATTGGATTTATTTTTCATGTCTGGGTGCGTGAAATTAGAGAAGTTAGATGGAAATGAGAGAGATAGAACTAGGGTTTAATACCTGAAGGTTCTGCGGTCAAATGACCATCACATAACACATTATGCGGCCGCATATGTATTTTGCGATGGATTAGTACCTGGGTGGTCTGCTACAGATGTGCGTTCTATTCTGCGAGCCGCAAAAGTTGATTTTTGTCCGATTTTTAAGAAAAAATTGATTGGTGTTCTGCTTGTGTCTGCAGCCATTATGCGGTCCGCATACCATTTATGCGGCTGCATATGTTGCCACAGAGGAACAGCTGAAGCTCAGCTTATTTTCCTTCATTTTTCCTCTGCCTTTGCATCATATTTCTTTGTATTTTGGGTAACCTGCATTCTAACACACACGTTAAACTGTTCAACACTTACAATTAAACCTACCAAAATTAAAATCTAACCAAAGAATTGTTACCAACACATGGGTTGCCTCCCAAGAAGCGCTTGATTTAACGTCGCGGCACGACGAAGTTGCCCCTATTTTGGCTAATCAGTGGTGGGGATTGGTATCGGACCATCCTTGAGTGCGAATTGTTCTACCAGTTTCCTTTGTCCAATGGTTCTGAGGTAATGCTTGACTCTTTGGACATATACTTTGAAAGTTCGGGTCATGTCCTCGAATTCTAATTCAATAGCGCCATAGGAAGATACATTCACAACTTTGAACGGGCCAGACCATTTATATTTCAGTTTGCCCGGAAATAACTTCAATCTTGAGTTGAAGAGTAAGACCAAGTCACCGGATTTGAATTCTCTCTTCAAAATCTTCTTATCATGAACAAACTTCATTCTTTCTTTATACATGGCTGTATTTTCGTAGACATGAAAATAGCACTCTTCCATCTCGTTGAGTTGTGTCATCCTTAGATTAGCAGCTTCGGCCCAATCAAGATTTAACTTTTTCAATGCCCACTTGGCTTTATTTTCAAGTTCCATTGGCAAGTGACAAGCTATCAAAAACCAATCGGTAAGGTGAGGTGCCAATGGGTGTCTTAAATGTTGTTCGATATGCCCACAATGCATCATCCAACTTCTTTGACTAGTCAGTCTTGTTTGCATTAACAGTTTTTGCTAGAATATTTTTGATCTTCCGGTTGGAGATTTTAACTTGACCACTTGACAGAGGAGGATGATAAGGGGCAGCCACCTTGTGCTTAAGTCCATATTTTTCGAGCAACCTGGCAAAAGCTTTGTTGCAAAAGTGAGAACCACTATCACTAAGGATGGCCCTTGGGGTTCCAAACCGAGTAAATATGTTCTTCTTCAGGAAGGTGGTTACACTTCTTGCCTCATTGTTCGGCAAGGCAATTGCCCCAACCCATTTGGAGATATAATCAACTGCCACCAAGATGTATGTCATGTCATAAGAGCTTACAAAAGGACCCATGAAATCTATCCCCCCACACATCAAAGATCTCGAGCTCCATCACAAAGTTCATAGGCATCTCATGCCTTCTAGAAATTAACCCTTGTCTTTGACATTGATCACATGCCTTGACCATTTGGTTTGCATCTTGGTAGATCGATGGCCAATAATAGCCACATTCAAGCACTTTTGCCGCAGTATGATTTCCACTATGGTGACCCCCAACTGGAGAGTCATGACATGCTTTGAGAATTTGAATTACCTCATATGCCGGAACACAACACTGAATGATGTTGTCGGCGCAAATCCGGAACAAAAAGGGTTCCTCCCAATAGTATTGCCTACACTCCCGCAAGAACTTTTTCTTTTGATAAGCTTCCAGTCCGTCACGGATAAGGTCACTAACCAAGAAGTTAGCGATGTCGGCATACCAAGGAGTAGAGGTTCTAGATATTGCCAATAAGTGCTCATTTGGGAAGCATCATTAATTTCAAGATCTTCTTTTGGTCTCCCTGCCTATTCAAGCCTAGATAAGTGATCCGTAACTTGATTTTCTGTTCCTTTCCGATCTTTGGCTTCAAAGTCAAACTCTTGTAACAAAAGAACCCACCTAATCAATCTTGGTTTAGCATCCTTCTTCCCAATAAGGTAGCAAAGAGCAGCATGATCGGTGTAGACTATCACTTTGGATCCCAACAAATAGGCCCGGAATTTTTCAAAAGCATAGACAATAGCAAGCAGTTCTTGCTCAGTTACAGTGTAATTCATTTGTGCACCATTGAGTGTCTTTCTTGCATAGTAGATAGGATGAAGAATTTTCTTTATGTCGTTGATCAAGTACTTCTCCAATAGCTATACCACTGGCATCACACATGAGTTCAAATGGAAGAGACCAATCGGGTGTGACAATAATAGGTGACGTGGTGAGCCTTTCTTTCAATTCCTCAAAAGCTTTGAGGCACTTCTCATCGAACTCAAACTTAGCATCCTTTTCAAGGATCTTGCACATGGGACTTGTAATTTTTGAGAAGTCTTTGATAAATCACCTGTAAAAACCGGCATGCCCCAAAAAGCTCTGAACACCCTTTACCGAAGTGGGAGGAGGAAGCTTGGAAATGATCTCGATCTTTGCCCGATCAACCTCTATGCCTCGCTTGAAAATTTTGTGGCCAAGAACAATATCCTCGTCCACCATGAAGTGACATTTTTTCCAATTGAGTACAAGGTTTGTTTCCTCACATCTTTTGAGCACTTGCCTAAGGTTGGCAAGGCAATGCTCAAAGGAATCACCAACTATAAAGAAGTCATCCATGAATACCTCTAAGAAGTCTTCCACCATGTCCGAGAAGATTGACATCATGCATCGTTGAAAAGTAGTCGGGGCATTGCATAGCCCAAATGGCATCCGGCTAAAGGAAAAGGTCCCATACAGACATGTGAATGTCGTCTTCTCTTGGTCCTCTAAGGCGATGCTGATTTGGTTGTAGTCGGAATAACCATCCAAGAAGCAATAAAATGACCTTCCCACTAGCCGATCAAGTATTTGATCAATAAAAGGCATAGGGAAATGGTAATTGCAAGTAGCACTATTGAGCTTCTGGTAGTCCATGCAAACTCTCCACCCGATCACCATCCTCGTTGGGATGAGTTCATTTTTGTCATTTTGAATCACGGTCATGCCTTCTTTCTTTGGCACACATTGCACCGGACTAACCCGGGGACTATGGGCAATAGGGTAGACAACCCCGGTGTCCAGCCATTTTATAATTTCTTTCTTCACCACATCTTGCATGGAAGGATTTAACCTTTTTGATGCTCCATGCTAGGTTTGCTCTCTTACTCTAATTGTATCTTGTGCTCACAAATTCCGGAAGGAATCCACTCGGATATCCGCTATAGTCCAACCAATGGCCTGTCTGTGCTCCCTCAAGGTATTCAATAAGTGGTCAACATGCACATCATTCAACAAAGAAGAAACAATTACAGGTAGAGTTTCATTAAAGCCAAGAAATTTATACCTTAAATGTGGCGGAAATGGCTTGAGCTCAAGTTGTGGCGGCTTGATAATTGAAGGCGTAGCGGGAGGAGTGACTCTATTCTCTAAGTCAAGAGAAAGCTTTTTAGGTGCATAAATATAGGACCCAATCCCTTCCAATGCATTCACTGATTCCACATATCCTTCCATGTCGCACTATCAAAATTTACCAAAATAGCCGCCAATGCCTCAACCGGGCATTCCTCTTCCATCTTCACCTCAACTGCATCCTCTACCTCATCAACAACATCAATGACTGGGATACTTTTGTATACATGTGGCAATTTCATACCATTACTCGTTTGAAAGGTAACTTCCTCGTCATTAACTTGGAACTTGATCTCATTTCATTCCGAGTCTATGAGTGCCCTCCCGATAGCAAGGAATGGTCTCCCCAACATGATAGGAATCTCTTTATCAATAGCACAATCGAGAATAACAAAGTCGGCAGGGAGGAGAAACTTCCCCACTTTCACAAGCATCATCAACTATTCCCATCTGTCGCTTTATTGAACGGTCGGCCATTTTACAACCTCATACTTGTAGGCCTAGTCATACCTATACCGCTTGCTTGTAAATAGCAAGGGGCATTAAGTTGATGCTAACCCCATTATCACAAAGGGTTCGTGCAAAATCGCGCAATCCAATAGTGCATGGAATGGTGAAGGCCCCCGGGTCCTCTTTCGTTTGGACGATGGTTGTTGCAATGATGGAACTAACCCTGTGAGTCACATTTACCACCTCATTCTTGGTGGTTTTCCTTTTAGTGATCAAGTCCTTCAAGTACTTAGCAAAATCCAGCATCTCTTGAAATGCTTCCACAAATGAAATATTCACCAATAATTGCTTTAGTATGTCATAGAACTTCTCAAGTTTGCTATCATCAACCTTTCTATCAAGTCTTTGAGGGAAAGCAGGTGGAGGTCTAGGAATTGGTGCTAGAGTGTTTGGTGCCTCTATTACCTTTTCCATAACCTCTTCATGGTTCACTTCTTGAGTTCTCACCGTCTTTGGGAGTTTTTCAACTTCAACAACAATTGGCACCTCATCTTGTGCCTCGACTTCTTGTTCAAAATCTTCAACTTCGACCACTTGTTCATTCTCTCCTTGAAGTAGTTTTCCACTTCGAGTTGTGATTGCCATACAATGAGAAGTTGGACCACTCCCACTACCTTTTGGGTTTGCAATTGTATCACTTGGGAGCTTGCATTTTTGCTTCGGATTTTGATCTCTTGAAAGATCCCTCATTTGCATCTCCAACTTTTGAATAGATGCGGTGTGAGAACTCACAAGCGCGGTCATATTCTTCATTGAAGTGTCGGATCTCTCTTGATTTTGCAACACTCTTTCAAGAATGTTTTCTAACTTGGACTCACTTGAAGAACTTTCCTTCCAATGTGGAGAGTTAGAATATTGCCCCTTTGCTGGAACATAGGGATTTGAACTCCGATTTGAAAAGTTATTGTTGTTGTTACTTCAATTTCCTTGATTTGAACTACCTTGGTCATTTCGCCACTATTGGTTGCCTTTCCCTTGAGGGTTAGACCTTCATTGGTGTTGTTGTCCTGAACCTGGGTAGGGTTGTCTTTGTTATCCTCCTTGAGGATTGTTGACATAATTCGCTTCTTCGTATTCCTCATTTGACATGAGTTGCACATCTTCCACAATATTCACCTTTTTTGTTTGGCTTTCAGTGAACATTTTCGTTAACACGTTGACATTAGTGGCAAGCCCGGCAATTACCTGATCTCTTTCTTGGTTCTCCTTAATCATGTTGGTCAAGGAAGGAGTATCATATGCAATTCCACATGTGGTGTCTTCCGAGTGCCAAGTTTGGTTATGTTCTACCATCTTGTCAAGGATTTGTGTGACCCTTGCAAATATTTTATCCATAAAGGATCCCTCCGCTGCATTTTTGGCTATGGATTGATTCATAGGATCCAAGCCCATGTAAAACTTCTCCAACAAAATATTATCCGGAAAGCCATGATTTGGCGACCTCACTAAATATAGCTTGAATCTATCCCACGCTTCATGTAGATGCTCCCCCGGTAGTTGCTTAAAGAAGAAAATTTTATCCCGGAGCTCGGACTTCTTGCTTTGCGGAAACCATTTTGCTAGGAAAGCTTGGACAAGTTCGGGCCAAGTATGGATGGAATTAGGAGGTAAATTTTGGATTCACTGTCTTGCCTCTCCAGTTAGAGAGTACTTGAACATCCTCAACCTTAGGGCATCATCTGAGACATGATTCTACTAGTGCATCGCACACACACCCGAAAAAATTCTGAGATGTGTCATATCATCATCGGTGGAATTTCGGAAGAATCCCTCTGCCTTTAGCATTAGGATTAGACTGTTCCACTTTGAAGGTGGCAGTATCAACTCTTGGAGGGACAATGGAATTTGTATCCTCAATATACTCATCTATATCCGCAAACACATTCTCTTCTTCCGGCTCGCCCATGTTTACCTAATGACACCAAGCAAAGCAAGCAAAGTGTGATGGAATAGAAGAAGACGTAAAGTAAAGCACACACTAGTTAGTAATTTCAAAATCGTATACCCCGGCAACGGCGCCAAAATTTGATACGCTCAAATTACACCTATATAAATGGTGTAAGGCGGTCGGTGTCAAATATAATAACCCAACTAGGTTGGGGTCGAATCCCACAGGGAATAGGTGTGAAACTTAACTTAAGCCATAGTTGTAATCCGTTAGTTCAAAAAGAGTTTTGTAATTGTGAATTGTCAAGAACAGCAATTTTGTTAACAGAATTAGATTAATTTAATTAAGAAACCAAGGTGGTTGTTACAACCTATATTTTCATACGTAAAAGTGCATCGTAAACAAACTAATGTAGGACCCAAAATTAGATCACCTTTGAAAGTATATAAAGTAAGTTAATCATGTTACCTCGGAGGTTACAAATATTGAAGATCGTGAACAACAAGTACAAAGAGGATTGGAAGGTTCAGAAGCTAAAGGAATTGAAGAAATAATATTTCGTCGAAAGTCGACAAGTTGGGAATGTTATAACATGTACTTTTGGGGTGTGACTAGGGTGCTTAACATGATAATGAGGTTATGTTAAGAGTTATGTTAGTCGTATGATAGTCGTGTATTATGTTTTGAAGTCAAGCGAGTTGTAGAACAAAAGTCGATGAAAGTCATCACAAGTTACGTTCATAAGTTTTACTGAAA